CTGTCCTTAGCACCACAGTATTTTTTTTTCAGTGCGACTGGAGGCCATCGCCGCAGACAGACCACAGACCAGGTGGAAACCACTGGACTCACCCCACCCCCTCTCTCCCTCTCTCACTAGCTTTACACACCAGTACCAGTACATCCTTGGCTACGCCGCTGCTTGGTCGCGACAGCCCGGTCCTATGAATTCTTCACTACTCCCGGGCCGACATGACGCGCGTGGTAGTTACGCCCCCGCCCGACACCAGTGACAGGACGCCAACATGTTCAAAGCCATGCACCGCACCAGCGCGCACCAGCAGCGCCGGCCCGCGCCAGCCCGCGCCGCCATACAGCACGGCACGGCATACAGCTCGTAGCCGCCGAACACTTGCGCTGTCATTCCAGCAGCCAGCCAGTTTCATATATGTGAGCCGCGCCGGCCGCGTCTCGTCCCCTTCTCCTCCCCGGAACGGAAACGCGCTCATGTGTTACATGACGACAACCAGCATCTCCAGCTCGCGCCTCACGCCTCCTGGCTGGCCGTACAAGTTCCGTCGCCGCTGCGCGCGTGAAAGCATTCAGTCGGTGTGGCGGTTCTGCGCAATATTCAAGAACTCGCGCTCACGCCGTGTCGTGGCTGTGGAGCAGATCTGCATGGACAGTGGCGGTATTCAGTACAGCTTTACAAACAACAGCTCATGACCTGACGCACGTCACCGAAGCAGCCAACAACCATAAAATTTCTTCCGATCCTGGTCTCACGACCCACTCCTGTGCGCGCTGTTTTAGACCTGGCTGACCGGGGGTGGGGGTGGGGGTGTCATGTGGGTTGTCTTCGTACCAGGTGGCTGATTGAACCCGCACGATTCTGTAGGCTAGTTACACTGTACTGTTCCGTACGCAGGAGTGCGGGCGGGCTTCCCTATCGCCCCTGTTCACGGCGCCTTTCGGGCCGAAAGTAGGTAGGTAGCCCGCCCGCGCGTAGGAATACGGCACGGTACAGCATGGCTACAGAAGTGTGCGGGGTTAATCACCCACCTGGCACAGCGGTTGTGTACATGGAATTACCTAGGTGGATTCTAAGGTCTGATGGGGGAGGGGATCGCCCCTCCGCCCCCCCCCCCCCCCCC